GGCTGCCCCCGACCCCAAGAATTGCGGAAGCAAGATGTGCCGTCTGAATGCGTTGCTCAGTGCTCCCGATAAGCGTGCTCGATTGTGCAAGGCGTCCCGGATGAGGTCTAAGTTCTCTCTGTCGCCCGCCTGGCTCTCTTGAATGGCGGTCTTCAGCACGGGCCCCGATCTAGCAAACTCCGTGGCAACTTTAAACATCTCATCCAAATCAGATTTCGCAACCAATAGAATCTCTGCCAGAAACAACTCACCAGTATTTTGTTGAGGAGTTGCGTCGGCCCACATCCACATATATGAATCGTGTAGGGGGCATTGCTTCTGAAAGGAACGCACCAAGGCAGCATCAAAAACTGATTGTGATCGTTGGAGGGTGCTTTTACTTGGCAACTTGTACGTGCTCATCATCTCGACAACATCGCTCGACAATCCCACTGGCAAAACTGATAGAGCTATATCTTTTGCTGATTCTTTAAAGTTATTCCGATTCAGGAGTCTTAGTGACGCAGCAAGACAATTCACTATTTTCAACGCCGAATGTGAAAATCTGCCTCGGGTCGCCGTCGTGGCAAGCTGATTTGGGCGACCGTCGATGCCTGTGTCCCTCGAGCTCTTCATTTTCGCATCGATTGCGTAAAGATAGTGTGCCAGGTTCGTGCTATCAGGGTGCGAGCTGTCAAGGTCACGCAGGATGCGGGGTGCCCACTGCTTCAGAGAACCGTACAATGACTCCAAGAGCTGCGGGATCGTGCCGGGATCGAAATCAGCGGGGGGATGTCGGGGAAAATCAGGCGTCTCCGATCCTCTCCGCAGCTGCTGCATCCAAAGTGGCTCCTCACATACAGGCTTGTCCGAAGACCTGAGAAGAATATGGTTCCACTTTCCATGTAGAATCAGCTCGCACACTGCTAATGGTGCAGCCACCTGCCCCGGACCCCGGACCGCTAACCAACTCGCAATCTATATAGATATACATATAAATGTATGTATTGATTCACTACTCTACTTAACTAAATTTGGTAGTTGTTATCATTGCATCGTCAGTCCCATGTTTTAATAATGCTACGATGTTCACACGGCACCTCTGATGCGAAGGGGGGGGCATCAGACATGCAAGGATGGAAGGAGGGAGGATGAGCGAAGGAAGGAGAGCGGAGGGAGGAGGCACGAGGGAGGGGGAGGGAGAGAGGAGGTAGGAACGAGGAGGGGAAACGATGCGGAGGGTGGAAGGAGGAATGCAAAGGAGGAAGCAAGGAGGGCAGATGAGGAGGCTTTACAGATGGATGGAGGATGGGGGTCAGAGTTAGGACGAGGATGAGTAGGTGGATGCAGAGCAAGCGGCCAGCAGCAGCAAGAGGACGACGAGAATAGAGAAGAGGGGAGGGGAAGGGGGGATAGGAGGCGGGCGGGAGGCAGGAGAGAGGAGAGAGGAGGGAAGGCGGAGAGATGAGGAGCGTTGAGGGCCGAGGGAGGGCATCAGCAGGAGGAGCAAAAGTAGGAGGCGATGGAGGTATAAGGATTCACTCTATCAAGACTCTAGGGCTCGGCAGCGCAACATCTTTGAAACAATACTGATTTCCTGGGGCTGGCGATGCAAGCGGGAGCCGTTTTTTGCGACTGTTGTTGTTGTTTAAGATCCGCAGACATTATGGAAGGGGCATTGTCTATCAAGGGGGGCCGTCTGGTAGAACGGGCACGATCGCAAACGAGGAAAGTTGCAATCAAGTCATGGGCGTGCACACAGATGACGGAGCAAGCAAACATCGGGGACCATCACAAACATATTGTTGTGTTATTTACGCAGCCGCATCTCTGTATCCCTTTATCTCTCTCTCTTTGCCTTTCTCTGTCCCAAATGTGTTTGGTACCATATATATGCTTATATGTCTAACATCTCTTTTTCTACATGAATATACACGTACATATGCGCTTATGTACATGTATTATGTTATCGGTGTCCTCCCTGTTTGCTCTTCATCTGTCTCACGTGTTCTCATTATCCGTCACTCTTAAATATGGGGGTCTGTCTGGGGGCCCATCGCCCTCCCACCACGGGAATCTGTCGGTCATCCGCTGCTCCAGCGACGCCCCACTGCGCCACGACGGTGCGCAAACTTAGAGTTCGCGTCCCTCCCTTTCCCCCTCCTCTCCGATCCTTCCCACCGTCTCCCCCTACCGTGTTTCCCCTCCCCATGGCTAGATTTATGTGTTTCCCAGTCGTTCCTTCCTGTCTTTGGCCCCTTTCCACCCTCCTCCCTCCCCCCCCCGCGTCGGGGGTCATGATCGTTGGCTTGGAGCCTGGACTAGACCGAATGGGAAGGTTGGGAACGCTGAGGCCCGGGCCTTCCCCCCGTGAGCGGTCTCGTGTAGAGTTCAACACCAGGCATAAATAACAGATTGGAGAGATGAAGACGGCGCCCGCGTCGATCCAAATGCATAGTAACAGAATCTTCACACCGGTCAGCCTTCACAACTTTGAGGCTGAAGGCATTGCCAGGATTTTGGAAGAACGACAAGAGCAACGCCTCCTGAGAATTGGGATGAGAAACGACACTGGCCAGATTTTGCCCTGCCTCAACCATCACCAAGCCTAGAACATCGACGCTGCCTTGTGCCCGACGTGAGGCTGTAGCCATAGCGCAGCCGCTGGGTCCATCCAGCAACGACTCAGGTTGTCCCCCAGCAGGGAGATCTCGCAACAAATCGAGCAGCCAACCTTCCTTCGGGATGGTGCATCGAACCCGGCGCTGGACGCCATCCTGCTGCGAGTATGATCTGGAACCTACAACGCACGCGCTCGAAATCACGCACAGAGGGGGCGGCTGATTGTTTTTTCAGGCTGACAAAACAGAAACCGAATAACAAATAATTGCAGATTGAACCCCCGGCCCGCCTACCAAAACAACAGACGAAGAACTGGAGGCAGACTCCTGGGTGAGAGGCCTCCGCCTCCGTATCATGTGCATGCTTTCGACGAGTGAGTCGTTTGATTCCAGGATGTCCGGTACTGCAGTGGAGCCAGGGCGCCAAGGTATATCAACATCAAATACATCGTTGATTCTGGGCCATGACAGGCGACGGAAAGACAGAGGCGATGGCAATTTCAAAACCACTGGCAACGATTGAATGTGGCCCGCTGCGGAAAATGATACAGAACCACGAATCCGGCCAGAACCGATTCTATCCACTCAATGCCCACACATTTCGAGGACTCTCGGGCGACGAATGTCCGACCCAATTCCAGCCGCGGCGACGAGGGCCTCCTCTGAGATTCCGAGAGATGTTAATATTGAAACTGCGGCGCAACGCAAACACAACGACACCCGAACAATACCTCGGGCATTTACAAATCTGTCCTCGGGGGCCCTGGGGTGGAGAGGCTTGCGGAGAAGGGAACGGAGGGGGGAGCGGGATGATGATAATGAGAGTTGCGCGTTTCTGAAAATAACGAATGCGGAAAGGAGGAAAATTGAACAACGCGTGTGTTTGAGACTAGCATTCGCTATGTTACGCGGGCACCCCACAAAAAAACAATGCTGGAGACGACGTAACTAAGAGGGTGCCCGCAACCATTTAAACACGTATGCTGGGCGACTCTTCGTTCGCATTTTTACACATTGCTTGCATGTTGCTCTCTAGCTGGGTTTGCACCGTGCACTTTTCGGTTCGGCCGAACGGCGGGTGGCAATGACTGCCGCTCGATTGATCCGAACCGCTCGGTTGCCATAGGTTGTCGGTACTGGCGTTGTGATTTCGATTTCTGGCGCACAAGATCGGCGTGTCCAAATGATTCAACTGGGATCTAACGCTTTTTGGGTTTGGGAACCAAGGTGGGCGCCGAAATCTGCGCAGTTCATTCAAACACTGCTGATCTCATCTGGAGCGGCCGAGCCCCCCAAATGAAAGGGCCCCCGTGAACTCCCACAGGAGGAGGAGGAGGAGGAGGAGGAGGAGGAGGGGGAAGGAGATGGAGGAGGAGGAGGAGGAGGAGGAGGAGGAGGAGGGGGAGGGGGAGGAGATGGAGGAGGAGGAGGAGGAGGAGAGGAGGAGAGGAGGAGGAGGAGGAGGAGGAGGAGGAGGACGGGTCGCCTAAGCCCTTCGGAGAAACTCTTCAGTCCTTTGGAGTCCCGAAACGGTGCGGTGATGGACCGTGCGGTGACCTCGAAATCCCCCAAGACCTCACCGCACGGTCCGTCACCGCACGGTTTTGGGACCTCGGAGGCCCCTGTCGCCCGAGACGTCCTCGGAGAACGACCTGAGTCCCAAAACCGTGCGGTGACCCCGAATCCCCACCGACTCACGGCACGGTGTGGTCACCGCACCGTTTGGGGGCCCCCGAACTCCTCCCTCCGGGGGGGAGGAGGAAAGGGGGCACCGGAGCGAACAGCGGAACGCTCTCCAGGGCCAGGCGGGGCCGGACCAAACTGGATCGCATTCACTTGGACTGGACCAAACCAAACCAAACCAAACCGAATTTCATCTTCGAACCAGAACGGGACCGAATCACGGAATATGGTTTCTTCTGGAACCGGACCGAACCAGAACCGGACCAGATCATGCCTGGGTTTGGCCTCTGGAAAGTTCTCGCGGGAGCTCCGAAAAGGTCTAGGAGCCTCCCGAAAGGCTCAGGAAGGATTGGGGTGTTGGAATGGAGACATGCAGAGGGGCTGAGAGGAATTGATTCGTCCCAGCCGATCTCAGGAAGGAAATGAACGCGGCAAGGCAGAGCAGAGAACGGAAGGGGGCGGGTGACGAACCTAGATTCCTCCCAGATGGGGCCGAGGTAGATGGGGTCAGAGGATCGCGCCGCATCGCCGATGCATCGCCGAGGCGAGTCCATGTGGAGTGGAGCCCCATGTTTCCACGCCGAGGGCGCCGACGCATCGACTTGCGTCGCCGATGCGGACCACACCTGGGAGCCCTGGAGGAACAGAAGGGGGACGAACCAGATGTGAAGGGGGGGGCTCCTTCCCCAAATCATGCCCATCTCTCCCCCAGGGCGCTCCTTGACGCCTCGGCTGGCCTGCGCCCTGCTTGTGCACGCGTCCTGCTCCACCACCTGGGCTAGCCCACCGAGGATTATGGCGCGGCGGAACCATTCGACCAGCACAGTCACAGTCCATGGTAAGGATACGCTGTAAGGAAACCCATTGAAGTCCCATTTACCAGTTAGAGCTCCTTGGACGCCAACATTGGCTCAGGATGGGCCGAGGAAGTTGGGATGCAAGGGCAGCATTGCTGAAGCAACGCATCCATACTATAGACTTTCTCTGTGGATGCTTTGCCACCGAACGCGTCGGCTGGCGTGGCAAACGACTCGGCATGCTCTCGCCGCCATTACTCAAGAACGGTAGCTCTGTTCCCCTGTGTTGCGTTACGATCTTGGTCACTGCGTGCTTAGACGCTCTCGGTTTTTCAGGACAAGTGCATCGGCTACAGAAGCGAGGGGAACAGCATAGCCGAATCATGGGACAGCATTGCGGTCCGCGTGTTGTCTTCACCTGTGCTCTTATCATCCTATTCGTCTTCTGTCCCCTCCTATCAACAGACGCACGCGTTCTCTCTTCTTCGCTGGTTGTATGCTACAAACCTGCTCTGCATTACCCGAACAATTGCTACTCGCGCACTATTCTATTTACGCGTCCGCAAAGATGCATGGCTCATGCATGTATGAGCACGTGTCAAAAATTGCGGAACTCGTGGGTCCGACAACTCAGCAACTGCCGGTTAGGTATGAGCGCACTAGCCCAGACTTCTGCTTCCACATGCAGGTCAAGTGGTCTGTAAACAGTGGCCTGAACAATCACGTGACTGGAGTCGAAAGACACAAGGACCTGTACATGTGTATATATATACAAACGTACACATTGGTATACATACGTGTATATGTGTACGTTATGCCAAGGATCTGATTATCCAAAAAGCGAGCCGAAACGCCTTACGTGTTTTACCTGCAGTGGCCATCTTGAAACTAATGACTAATCATGTCCGGCAGCGTGTGGCTGAGGAGGGTGTGATGCAGAATGTGTATGTTGGTGCTTCGGCGTAGCTGCTTCCGCCCTCATGTTTGACACCGTGGGCACGATACCTCTGGCGGATCGCGCGCCGCAGTGTACGTATCCTCTCCTCCCTCCTGCCCCGCAACAGTTCCGAGCCAGTGGAGCCACACAAACACGGGTGACCTTCTGCCCCTCCGCAGGCCGCCCTATTTCGCGGTCCGCTCGCCATACCCCGCTGAGATCCGGCTGACTCTGAGCACTACTCTCTGGGGACTTGTGGAGGTGCAACAGAAGGTTTTTTTTTTGTCGGGCGCTTCCGCAGGGCATCCTGCAAACCTGCTTCTGGCGGATCGACTCGTCCTGCACACATACACACACCAGGTGGTGGTGGTGCGCTTGCAGGTCCCCAGGTCTCATCGCGCAACTGTCCGCGCCGAATCCGCGTCGAATCAACGGCGAACCACAGCGCAGGTGGAACCGCGTCGAATCATCCACGTCGCCCAGGTGCAACAGAAGGTGGGGCACAACTCCCCGAGCAGCCGGAGACCGTGGCAGTGCCAAGCAAAACTGCCTATCCCACTTGCACTGCCCCCAATTACATTCCCATGTATGGCCGCCCGTTTACGTTGACTGAACATCACGCTGGTGGTCCCGAGCCGTACCAATGCTGATCACAGAACGAAGCTTGACCGCGTGCCAAGCTCGGGAATCCACATGTGTAGACAGGGACGTGTGTGACCCGTTAGCGTGCCGATGTGGCCCCAATAGCACGTACGTTCTAGTGCTAGATGTACGCATACGCATCATTATGAATCTTAATATGGCGAGACGTAGTGCTTCGGCGAATGCCCGCTCCCCTGGCTCATGACTCTGCCTCCCCACTGCTGCTGCAGCCGCGGCTGTCCGCCTTACACTCGCTGGCAGCCGTGGGGGAGCCAGGACTGCTGTACTGCTGGTGTACTGCTGGTATCTATTGTGGTTCTCTTTGGTGCTGTCAATCGTTTCAAATCTCGTCTCCCTCCAATCATGTCTCCCCTTTGTTGTCTACTAAGTGGGCCGCAACGGGAACCAAACAACACCTTGGACTGCCTCAGCCTCCTGGGCGCCCTCGTCTGCGCCAGGAATCGCACAGGGACGCCACCAGACGATCAGGCCAGGATGGCCCAGGGCCTCCAGGAGGGCCTCAAGACCTCAAAACGACTTAACATGGCCACTCAGTAGTGGGGGCAAGGCACGGTCCGAGAGAGCAAAAAACAGTAAACACGATGCGAGGCAGCAATGTGTCCTACATGTCCCATACGTTGCTCCCACGACGCCCAAGCATCGAGTCACGACAGCCCCAGGAGCGAGATTCTCCAGGAAGACTTCAAGGTGGCCCTAGAATGCCCCAAGATGCCGCCCAGATCGCCAACTATGGCCCAACAAGGCCCCAAGGTGGTCCCATGATGCCCCCGAGAGCCCCCTAGGATGAACCCCAGAAAACCCAAGATGGCCCGGAGGTGGATCATGAGGCCCTACGGTTGGACGTGGGAAGATAGCGTGCAAGATCGATCTCCGAAAAGCACGCTGTCCCTGTGAGGCGATCCCCACGCTGTTCCCCTCTGCGCGCGCGGTTCCCCTGCCAAGGCTTCTTCGGCGCACTGCACAGTGCACGCTATCCCCAAGGTGGGGAATAGTTTGCTATAAGCGCGCTGGCGGCGCCACATCGCGCGCTATCGTTGCAACGCCAACCGAGAATGCCCCCCAAGATGCCCCAAGAAGGTACCAAAGCCGCCCCGATATGGCCACGCGACTGCCGCCCTGCGAACCCAGTTCGGCGTGCCCCCCCCTGCAGGGGGCGGAGCGGGAGCAGAGGCGCCCGAGCCACGCCAAACTTTGTCAGTTTGCAGAGCTTAGATAAGACATGTTGGAGACAGCGCGCATATACAAAGGCCTCCCAAACGGGGCCGGAAGAGATGAGGTCGGAGGATTGCGCCGCAACGCCGATGCATCGACGATGCATCGGCAATGTATCGGCGATGCATCGTCGACGTTGGCGATGCATGGCGACGTCGGCGTGGAGAAAACCGGGCTCCACATCGAGCCGCATCGCCGATGTATCGGCGATGCGGCACGATCCTCCGACCCCATCTACTCGAACCCCATCTGAGACCTACATGCATACTAAGAGTGGCCCCGCGCATTCCGGCGCCTATTCTTCTTAGACGTGCAACGATGCCATGCAGTCTTCGACGACTGGATGACGTAACAACAACAATGCACCTGAGCAACCAGAGACTCCTTGGATACGAAAATGGTTTGGCGCGCACAAAGCGACGAGGGCTTCAACTCGACACACTCATCCTTCTCTGTGCGCCTTATGGACTTCCAGTGACGCTCCGGTGGCGACAAAGACTGCTGAAATGATGTTCCATTCGGCAAGCCTCTTGCGGACGTTGTGCCACATGACCTCCGAGGGGAGCCTCAATTCGGCACATCCCTCACGCATTTCGTGCCCACGGGACCATCAGGCCCACAGAGGAATTCCAAGACTGCCCAATCCCCAAGGGACGCCCAGATGGCCCCAAGAGAGGTTGCAACGATCGGCACCGACACTCGTCAAAAACCATGCCCCCAGACACCCACTGATGGCAAAATCTGCGTGCGCCACCTGGGCTCGGACCGGCTCGACGCGAATGTGAATGAAAGCGCACACGCCCTTTCCCGCGTTCTCGAGCGGCAGCTCCCCATCGAAGCCCTGGGAGGAGGGGCGCGGCACTCCCCCCGAATCCATCCTTCCTCCTCCTCCCCCCTCCTCCCCCCCACTCCCCTCCCCATCCCCCCTCCCCTGACTCCTCACCTCCCTCTCCCCTCTCCTTCCCTCCCCCTCCCCACTCCCCTCACGCCTCCTCTCGCTCATTCGCTCACCCCTCCCCTCACCCAAGTTACCCCCTCCCCCCCTTAACTTCTTCAACCACTCCCCCCCATCCCTCCCTCCCTCCCTCCCCATTCTCATTCGCCGTGCGCAGCACAATGCAAGGCACAATCCCGCATGGAACACCCACGCGCCACGCGGGTGCAGCGGGTTGGCGCAAGGGCGCGCGTCGCGCGAGCGAGCACACAGAAGTCCGAGTCAATGAAACGGGAGCTGGACTCGAAAAGAATACCAACGGAGCTGGAGTCGGAGACACGGGAGTCGGAATGAGGGACCCTCGAAGCGCGAGTCGGAGAAGGGGGACCTAGAGTCGGAAAGACGACCATTCGAAACTGGAGTCGGAGACACAGGAGTCGGAGTGGAAAATATGGCACTGGAAACAGACGAATGGAATCTGGAGTCGCAGGGACGACCAGTGAAGCCAGTCGGGGAGATGGGAGCCGGAGTCAGGCCAAAGGATATGGAAGCGAAGCGAAGCGAACGCCGGAGTCGTGCGCGCTCCTCTGGGAAGCCCGCCCGTGCCCACTAGGGCATGGCGTGGAGGCCGTGGCCTCAAAATTGCCATACGCAGGCGGACTCACATCACGATCAGGGCGGGCGTGTCCCCCTGCAGGCGGATTTGGGACGAAAAATCAAAGCAGTCGAAAAATGTCCCCAGGTGGTCCAAAAATCATAGAAAAACCGTCCCCGGATTAGTTTGTGACTGGTTTTGAAGATTCCTCCTGCAGAGGGACAGGCACGACTCAACATCATCACCACCATTCACAATTCCCGGCCGCCGGCCGCCGATCACCACCGCAAATCGTTCGCACGTCGCTCTCGCCTCGGCGCCGTGCAAGTTCCGCGTGAACGCGGCGCTCCCGCCACGGCGCGGCGCAGACCTCTGCGAGGCGGGGAAGTATCCGTATCCACCGCCTGGGAAGGCACGTCCTGGTTCCCCCGGCGTGCGGTGGATATGGATATACTATTTTGGCCCCCATGGGCCCGAATGTGTCCACATCCACCGCCTGCCGAGGTCCCCGAAACTTGATCCTCCAGGCAGTCGCTATGTGTACACTCCTGCCTCGGAACGTTTCACTCGCCAGGCCGCTGGGAGCGGGGCCACGCGCGAGCGGGCGACCTGTCGCCCTCGCCTTCGCTCCCGTGGAAGTGTCACCTGGAACTGGCGCTCCCGCGTGAGCGCAGGCGTGTGTCGCTCTCCAAATCTCAGCGATTGGAGGCCTGGAGATGGGCACCAACACCAACACAGAGGGTCGCCTCCACGGGGGGAAGATGATCCCAGATTTCGGTGTTGGTGGTAATACGTTGGTCACCTTGGAACACAGAATCTTACCACCATCACCGAGATCGGGATCTTCTCCCCTCGGTAAAGGCACACCGCCGTAGGCCTGCGAAGCGACTCCGCACGAGAGCGGGTGAAATGGGGTCTTCGTCCATGCGCCGCGCAGGTTGTGGGAAAGTGGCAAGACTGCTTCGGCGCAGCAATATTCTTCGTCTGCGCCGATCGCAGCGCCGCGCGAAGATCTTCTGAAGCTCCGCCCCCGCCGGCGCACGGCGCGCGTTTGTTTTCCCCTCGCCAGCTCGTCGAAGCCGGCCCACGCGAGTGCCGTCCGCTCGCTGGGTGAGAACGCGTTCCGGTCACAATCGACTCTTATGCGATGGGAGAAGAGGGTGGGAAGTTGGCCGTGTTCCGCTGACTCTTTCGACCGGGCCAACTTGGCTCACCCCTCCCACTTCTGCCCCGTCTCTCCCTCCTGCTCCCCGTCCCCCAGGCACTCAGAGCCAGGTCTGGCCACGGCAACGCCCTTCCCGGCCACAACAGAAGCGTAGGCAATGACCCATCGACTCCAAGTCCCCAGATGCAAGCGGTGCCGCCTGCGGCAAGAACTGATAGGCATGCAGCGTGGCCCTGCCCAACATGTCATCTCTGGATATGCGGTCCCAGTCGTAGATGCTGAACGAGAGTTCATCTTGGCTCGTCAGGTCCGCCACCTGCCGCGACTGCGTTAGCGCGACTTCCCTCAGCTCATCTCCGTCTCCTCCTCCTCGTCCTCACCATTGTCCTCCCCATTCTCCTTCACCTCCTCCTCCCCCTCATCAAATCTCCCCTCTCGTCCTGCTCCCTCGGCTCTCTGCGGGGGAAGATCCCCCCTCTTCCCCCGAAGGCGCCCAGGAGTCACCTCCGCCGTGAAATTCCACTCCGGGCGGACGTTCTTCTTGATCACGTGCGTCTGGAATATCTTGTTGGGACGGCCAGCAACCTGGCAAAGATGGAGGGGACGAATGGAGAGGATGGAGGAGGCTGATCGGAGGAAAGGTAACAACGAAGAGGACGAGGATGCGGTGAGAAAGATCAGTAGGAGGGTCACTTCTCCGCATATCCCCTCTCCCAAGGTCTGGACGAGGCATTCCGCGAGGGGTAAAGCGTCCAAGATGGCCCAAGATGGCCCCAGGATTGGCCACATATTGCCCAAGATGTGGCATCCAACATCGCACAAGTTAGCCCAGGATGGCTCAAGATAGCTTCCCTCGTGCCTCCAAATGGCGCCATGACCGTCCCAAGAAGGTTCCAAATGGCCACGGGACCTTGCGATGACCCCCCGAGACGCCAAAACTCCGTCCAAAATATTTGGAAATCCATATTTGTCATATTCTCGCCTTTCCGCTTCCGAAATGCTCTTGAGGCCTCAAGATGGTTCCAATCTGGCCCGAGAGAATCCCAAGAGGGGACCAAGACGGCCCCAAGACCGCCAAAGAGCTCCCCAAGAAGGCCCCAAGAGACGATTTGTATTGTGGCCTCGAGGGGGGCCCTAATCCGCGCCGCCGTCTTTTTTGCTCGATGGCCCCAACGATGGCCCAAAGAGGCCCCTCAAGGCCCCCAAGAGGGCCCCAAGAGAGCCCAACGGACCCGGAGGGAGCCCCAAAGGTCGTCAGAATAGCTCCACCGTGGCCCCAAGATGCTCCCAAGAGGCTCCCAGAACGTGACTGCATGCTGCTACACATCCCTGACCATGGAGTCTGATGTCATACCTTCGTGGGGTTACTCCAGAGTTCGGGTACTTCACTTTCACCATCTTCTGGCAATTCGCGTGTCGATTGTTCTTGGATGGACTGGTGGGGATACTCGAAGCGTCAAAAAGAATTATCCCAGTGCGACCCTACCTAGGAGTTGGAGCCCCTAGGAAAGGAGCATTAGTAGTAACAGTAACGCTAAGCTAAAGCTGGGATTAGCTAAGCTAAAGCGAAGCTAGAGCTAAGATAAAGCTAAGCGAAACCTAAGCTAAAGCTAAGCTAAAGCTAAGCTAAAGCTAAGCTAGAGCTAAGCTAAAGCTAAGCTAAAGCTGCGCCAACGCTAAGCTAAATATAAGCTGAAGCTAAGCTGAAGCTAAGCTACAGCTAAGCTGAAGCTAAGCTGAAGCTAAGCTAAAGCTGAGCTACAGCTGAGCTAAAGCTAAGCTGAAGTTAAGGTAAAGCTAAGGTAAAGCTACGTTAAAGCTAAGCTAATGCTAAGCTAAAGCTAAGCTAAAGCTAAGCTAAAGCGTAGCTAAAGCTTAGCTAAAGCTAAGCTGAAGCTAAGCTTACCTAAGCTAAGCTGGGTGAACGCAGGGGGCGCAACTGGGGGAGCCGCTGGGCGGGGACTGGGGGAACCGCCCGGGGCGCGTTCCACTGCCCGGCCCCTTTAAGAAAGAGAGTAAGAACCCTCTAGGCAGAGCCTAGGTAGGGAACTAGGTGGTCCATAGGAACCCATTGTTTCATGATTCGCGATGACGCCCTTTACCCGCCCCCCCCGGGAAGAACGTCACGATTCCCGCAGGCTCCGAACTGTCTCATCCCTGCCTGGGCTTAGGGCGTGTCCCCCTACAGGTGAATTTGGGCGAAAATTATCCCAGTGCGACCCTACCTAGGAGTTGGAGCCTCTAGGAAAGCAACATTAGCAGCAGCAATAGTGGATGCTGTGCTGCGCTATGCTCTGCTCTGCTCTGCTCTGCTCTGCTCTGCTATGCTATGCTATGCTGCGCAATGCTATGCTGGGCTAGGCTAGGCTAGACTAGGCTAGGCTATGCTAGGCTATGCTATGCTATGCTGCGCTATGCCATGCTGCGCTATGCTATGCTATGCTATGCTTTGCTTTGCCTTCGCTTTTGCCTTCAATTTTGCCTTTGATTTTACCTTTGCTGTTGCTTTTGCTTGGCTCCCAGGGGACTGGGGGAACCGCCCGGGGCGCGTTCCACTGCCCGGCCCCTTTAAGAAAGAGAGTAAGAACCCTCTAGGCAGAGCCTAGGTAGGGAACTAGGTGGTCCATAGGAACCCATTGTTTCATGATTCGCGATGACGCCCTTGACCCGCCCCCCCCCCTGGGAAGGACGTCACGATTCGCGCAGGCTCCGAACTGTCTCATCCCTGCCTGGGCTTAGGGCGTGTCCCCCTACAGGTGAATTTGGGCGAAAATTATCCCAGTGCGACCCTACCTAGGAGTTGGAGCCTCTAGGAAAGCAACATTAGCAGCAGCAATAGTGGATGCTGTGCTGCGCTATGCTCTGCTCTGCTCTGCTCTGCTATGCTATGCTATGCTATGCTATGCTATGCTATGCTATGCTATGCTGCGCAATGCTATGCTGGGCTAGACTAGGCTAGACTAGGCTATGCTATGCTATGCTGCGCTATGCCATGCTGCGCTATGCTATGCTGTGCTATGCTTTGCTTTGCCTTCGCGTTTGCCTTCACTTTTGCCTTTGCTTTTACCTTTGCTGTTGCCTTTGCTTGGCTCCCAGGGGACTGGGGGAACCGCCCGGGGCGCGTTCCACTGCCCGGCCCCATTTAAGCTAAGAGAGTAAGAACCCTTCTAGGCAGAGCCCAGGTAGGGAATAAACTGCGGACCTAAGAGAAATTACGTGCATGCACACGTGCATGCATACCTTAGTTTTACGTTTGCCTTTGCTTTGCGTTGCTTTGCTTCTGCTTTGCTTTGCGTTGTCTTCGACAATTTTGCTTTGTTTTGTCTTCGTTGATGTTGCTAAGCTATGCTATGCTGCGCTATGCTATGCTATGATATGGTATGGTATGCTATGTTGCGCTATGCTTTGCTATGCTAGGTTATGTTATGATATGCTATGCTGCGCTATGCTATGATATGCAGTGCGATGCTATCATATGCTATGCTACGCTATGATGCGCTGTGCTATGCTAATATATGATATGCTAAGCTATGCTAAGCTATGCTATTCAATACTGTGATATGGTATGCTATGATGTGCTATGCTATGCCATGCTATGCTATGCTACGCTAAGCTAAGCTACATTAGGCTAAGCTAAGCTCAGCTAAGCTAAGCTAAGGTAAGCCAAGCTAAGCTAAGCTAAGCTAAGCCGAGCTAAGCTAAGCCAAGCTAAGCTACGACGAGATAAGCTAAGCCAAGCTAAGGGGGCGCTATGCTAAGCTATTCTAAGCTATGATATGCAATACTGTGCTATGTTATGCTATGCTGTGCTATGCTATGTCATGCCATGCTATGCTACGCTAAGCTAAGCTACATTAGGCTAAGCTAAGCTAGGCTAAGCTAAGCTAAGCTAAGCTAAGGTAAGCCAAGCTAAGCTAAGCTAAGCTAAGCCAAGCTAAGCTAAGCCAAGCTAAGCTAAGACGAGATAAGCTAAGCCAAACTAAGGGGGCGCGACTGGGGGAACCGCGGGGCGGGGACTGGGGGAACCGCCCGGGGCGTGTTACACTGCCTGGCCCCTTTTAAGCTAAGAGAGTAAGAACCCTTCTAGGCAGAGCCTAGGTAGGGAAATAAAACAAATTCTCAAAATACCCAGAAATAGTCAAACAAATAATCAATCATCCCAGTGCGACCCTACCTAGGAGTTGGAGCATTTAGGAAAGCAACATCTACATCTACACCGACAGCTACATTTGCATCTACACCTGCATCTACATCTACATCAACATCAACAGCGAGACTCACATCTACATCTCCATCTACATCTACACCTACATCTACACCTACATGTACATATATACTGAGCTATGCTGAGCTATGCTATGCTATGCTATGCTATGTTTGGCTATGCTATGCTATGCTGTGTTTGGCTATGCTATGCTGTGCTAATGCTGCGCTGCGCTATGCTGCGCTGCGCTAAGCTAAGGTAAGCTAAGCTATGCTAAGCTAAGCTAAGCTAAGCTGAGCTAATCTAGGCTAGGCTAAGCTAAGCTAAGCTAAGCTGAGCCAAGCCAAGCCAAGCCAAGCCAAGCCAAGCCAAGCTAAACCAAGCTAAGCAACATTGAGATAAGCTAAGCTAAGCTAAGCTAATTAGGCTAGGCTAGGCAAAGCTAAGCTAAGCTAAGCTAAGTCGAGCCCCACTGCCCGGCCCCTTTAAGCAAACAGAGTAAGAACCCTCTAGGCAGAGCCTAGGTAGGGAACAAACCGTCGCCAGATTATTTTTTACTATTTTTGAATATTCCTCCTGTAGAGGGACAGGCCCGACTGAAGCCTAGGCATTCCAAGACCGCGCCGGCGCGAGTCGTGGCGTTCCCGGCCCCCATCACCCCCTCCCTCCCCCCGCAACGCCCGTCTCTTGCCAGGAGAGGAACCAGGCGCTTCTAGCGCCGGAGACTGCGCCTGTGCAGATAGCTAGGGGGGCCCTGGGGGGGGGGGTCCCAGGCAGGCGTGCGCCTCCCCGCTGGCACCCCCTCCCCAAGGATGGAATGGGGCGACCTTGGGGCCATTTGGGCTACGGCAGGTTCGTGCCGTGTCGACCTGGGCGTTGGTTCCTGACGCCGCGGGGATTGCTCAACCTTGAACGATCGACCCGTTCCGCAACGTCCGATCGTTCAACATCGACCGATTCTGGACCGCCGCCGGCATTCAACGTTGAACGCCGGCGTCGGGGTCGCCGCCTGTCGACACGACGCGAACCTACCGTACATCTGGGCCCGAGAGGCCAAGATCGCTGATGCCAAGAACCCCAAGAGGCCCCCCATGCACCCACCTGAACCACAAAAGGCCCCCGGCAGGCTCCAAAGAAGCCCCCCGAGATCCCCCGAATTTCCTCAAGGCCTCTGGAGCACGACACAGCCGCCCACGCGACCCAGGCGCCCGTCTCCCTTCCGCCTCTTGCTTCTCCGGGACGACTGGCCCATCCAGACAGACAAGCATATTCGCTGTCAGGAGCACATTAACTGGACAGGCCTCGTCGACGGCAGGCGCGGCAGAGCTCCAGAAGAGGCAAGACTGACCTGCTCTGCGAATGGTTCATCAAACAAACATAGATTGCGCTCAAGCTGTTCCTCCTCCCTCTTCCCTCCCTGCCCCTCAGTCCTACTCATCCCTCGCCGCCTCCCCCCCCAACCTACTCTCTGCATCCCCTGTCCCCCTCCCTCCCTGCCTCCCAACCTACCTCCCCTTTCTCGCAGAAGGCCTCGCAGATGCAGTACGGATCGGATGATCCACCGAATATCTTCAGGTCTGCGCAACGCAGGCCCCGTGCAGATACAATCGTGACTTTGCAGGTTGTCGGCGATGCTCGCCTCAATGCGGGGGGCATCCAGACGGTGGGAAAGAGTTCATAGAGAAAGAGAGAGAGAGAGAGAAAGAGCTCGATCGATCTATATTATATAGAGAGGGGGAGAGAGAGAGAGAGAAATAAATAAAGAAAACAAAACAAACGATAGAGAGAGGGAGAGCGCGAGAGAGAGAGAGAGAAACGGAAGGATAACGACGACTAGCTGCAAGGGGCAGGGTTTCATAGAAAGAAGGTGGGAGAAGGATCATAAGGAGGATTATGACGACAATAACGAGGAGGAGGGCGAGGCGAGAGGAAAAGCGGGAGTTCCAGAGCTTCCAGATAAGTTAAAGCTCACATAATCAGCATTAATGGCGTCGAACCTGTCATGCGCTCCAAGATAATTGACGGCACTGCGGGCCAACTCATTCGAGCCACTTGTTTACTAGACATGTGAATTCACAAATGTGTAGCGCATTGGACGTAAGCCTGTTAGACTCCACGCGAGTGCCCATCGTGGCACGACAGGTCATAGCCGAACAATCTCAAACTCGCTCACATGACCCTTGATGAATACCGAGCGCGATCTGCCTCAATGGTGGATTGAAACGGGTCCAAGCCCAATTTGCAACCGCGCCCCCTGGCGCCGTTGTTGGAACTCCGTGCAAGGTGGATGCAACCGTGGAGCGAGAGGGGATGGGATCAACAGAGGGGAGCAAGGCGCAACATCTTCAGAGAAGGCTGCCCTCTGGTGTGCCCGCACAGGCAGGGGAAAGAGAGACACATGCGAGACAGGACTTCCGCCCACAACCTTCGGAGGTGCTTCGCTTTCAGCCCCCGTGACCCAGCCCAAGGTGTGCACAGCAGCTTGGGGTTCAGCGAGCAGCGAACGGCACACATTCAAAAGCAACACTCGAGCCACTCGTACCACAGCATGGTACGGCGGCAGAAACTACAGCCATCATGCTGTAATAAAGGACGCATAAAAAAGAACGACGGGGCTGCTATGGCCACGGCGGGCTTAGGCCACGAACATATTCCACGACATAGATTTAAGGAACGACCCGACCACCCGAGCCCTTCCTGAGTAGTGGTTCGTACTTGCGCGTCTCGGAAGCACTGTTGCAACATGTGCCACAAGGCGTCGATCTGCCAACTCGGCATGGGCTGGGGGGGATTAAGCCAATGTTACCGAAGGCCCCACCGGGACCTTGACGAAGAGGATCAACCTGCTCGGACACCCTGCGGCCTGGCTTGGAGTCTGTCTCCCGGCACGTGCAAGACCTCTCCGTGGGGCAAGGTCGGCGACTCCGAAGGGCGTCGTTTGCAAAGGGGGCGGTTTGCAATTCACACTCAGGGGGGATGGGCGGGGACCTCGACAGAGTTCTCCGCCGCGCGCCGAGGAGGCCCGACGAGGGCCACACCACACCCTGGCGTAACCACACCCTCTGTACAGTAGTCGCCCACAGTACGAGAACGGCGCCCATGCACGGCACCACGTCTGGACTTCCTTCAAGCCCCGCTCCAGCGCGCTACTGTGCACACTTCTCCGGTTCTGAAGGCCGATCAACTATGGTACCTTTACCGGGTCGAAGATCGACGACACGTGGGGAGACGCCAAAGCGGCACGGTGCACACAAGTCGTCCGAACAGCGAACAGCGCGGCACGGTAATTAGGGAGCACACCGCGCTGACAGGAGGCGAGACTCCTCCTCCTCATTCTAGCTCCTCCTCCTCCTCCTCCTCCTCCTCCTCCTCCTCCTCCTCTAGTTCCTCCTCTAGCTCCTCCTCCTCCTCCTCCTCCTCCTCCTCCTCTAGTTCCTCCTCTAGCCTGTCCTCCTCCTCCTCCTCCTCCTCCTCCTCCTCCTCCTCCTCCTCCTCCTCAGCGCGGGGCCCAGCCTGCTCACACCAAGCTGCGCCGGAGCCTCGGACGGGCGTGGCTGCGGCATGCTCAGCGGCGCCTGCAGCGAAAACTCGGAGAACACGGAGCCTGCGGCGCGCGGCTGCCCCATCTGCGACGGCACCTCGGCGTTCCGCGTGCCCAGGACGGCGCTGGAGGGGGATCGGGGAGGACTTCGCTTCGATTCGTCCAGATTTGCTGTCGCCCGCTTCGGTTCGTCCAGCTTCATTTAGCCTGGTTTCCGAGGGAAGACGAAACGAAGGGGACGAATCGGGAGAGGACGACATCAAAATCCACCTCGGGAAACCAACCACGGCGCGGGAGGGCGATCGGGGACGGGGGGAAGGGGAGGGCAGAGCAAGGGGGGAAAGGAGGGACACGGCGCCGACTCGTCCCGCGGGACGAACCCCTCCCGTCGTTACTCCCCTTCCCTTTTTCCCGTCCCTCCTCCCGTGCACCCATCTCTTCCTCGTCCCCCACCCTCCTCCGTTAAGCGACGCAGGGCCCGCTTAGTAGTACTGGGTCGGGGGGGGGGTCCTGGGAACACCTTCGGGCGCTGCCATTTTTAGCCGGCGTCCACGTCCTCGGCCGCCGCCGCCGCCCCCTCCTCCTCCCGTCCAGTTCCCCCTCCTCATCCCTCCACCAATAATTCAAAAGGGGAAGGCGATCGGGAGCGGCCAAGAGGGGGGTGTCCAAGAGGGGGGGTGCAGATCATGACCTGTGGCATGTGCGCGGCCCAGCGGGGGGACCAGGGACGTAATGAAGTAAAAAGAGGCGCCATAAAAAGAGGCGCAATTCAAAAAGGGGAGGCCGAAGGTCTTCGCCGGAACCGCCCGTGGCCGGGAAGCGTGCGGCGGCAACCGTCACACCCCGGGAGCCTCCCAGAACCTCTTGACGGCCCTCGCGAATCGATGCTAATCGATGGTGGGCCTTTTTCCCGCCACCACCACCACCACCACCATATGTTGGAGGGGGAGGGGTTCCTCCTCCTTCTCCGCCTCCGCCACCTCATCCTCCTCCTCCTCCTCTTCGTCCTCCTCCTCCTCCTCCTCGTCGTCATCCTTCTTTCCCCCTCCAACTGATAGTGGTGGTGGTGGACAGCAGGCCCATCGGTCGAAGCGAAGTCGACGCCAAGTCGGCGCTTTCCCTTCGACTACCAGACGCTAGCGCACGCCAGTGCACTCCGAAGACGGACCTGCGAGGAAACACAAGGCCCCCGTGATTTGCTACTGCCCCCCCCATTTCTCCGCCTACCACCCCCGGGCCAAAGAGGGGCAGGCAGAGGCCTGCGCCGGCGCCGCCCGTGAGGGGGGAAGCGCGCCCTTGCCGTCGCTCGCACGCTCACTCCCTGTGCATTGCTTCGTTTCGTGTGCTTGTTCGTCTCCAGACGGTCCAAGATGCTCCAAGACGCGTCATCGAAATCCGCTGACCCTGTCGGCATGCGTGAGAGGCTTTTCCGTTCGAGTCGTCGTCGCCGTCGCCGTCGCCGTCGCCGTCGCCGTCGCCGTCGCCGTCACCGCTGCCCCCTGTCCCTGTCCGTGGGCCCTCCTCTTCAAGCGCCCCCCGGACAAATGGTAAATCGAGCCAGTCCGTGATCGTGTCGGGGGGAAGCCCCCTCCCTGTGATCCTTTCCCCGCCAAGGGGGGGTCGCGGGGGAGCCACAGGGGGGGTCCCAAGCCGTTTGCCCACTCGGGGTGGGGCGGACGACGCCCCACGCGTGGGCGGGCGGCAGCGCGGCGGCCGCGATAGGGGCTGCAGCAAGGGGGAGGACCCCCCACACCCCTTGCAGCGGCGGCGGCCCCTGGCGGCAGCCCGCGGCGGGCCAGGCGCTGCGCGGAGGCGCTCCCGTGGCAGACCGCCCACCAGGCACAGGCAGGCCAGACGGCCAAGCGTCCTGAGAGCGCTGCGCCCCGTCGTCGCAGGCGACAGCGTGCACAGGCCAGGATCCTGCTGAGAGTCACGAAGGCCAAGAAGTTGCTGAGTGCGCACCACTCGGCGCAGCGCCCACCCTTCGAGATGACGACGAAAGGCAGAGGACGAGGAGCTGCAGCAGATCGAGCAGGAAGTACTCCAAACTGGAAGTGTATACCTTGTGGGATTATCAATCACGGTGATGAGCGGTGTCGCAATCGAAAGTGTGGAATTTCATATCGGCAACACTGTCAGAGAGTCCACGATGACAATCTGAGGTCGAAGGATGCAGCCAAGTTGAAGGAGGATTGCAAACACTGTATCCAGGAGATGATGATGTGTACTACGGACTATGCCAAGAACAGCCAGATATATCGTACGCCTCCAACAAGCCAGAGCGCTTTGACGCGCCACCGCGATGAGCTACAATCCAGGTTGACGACTCTGGCCGAGATTGTGTTGAAAGGAAAGGAGGCGATGACGAGTACACATGCACAGCAGAAAGAAATGGCAATCCTGAAGTATATGTTGTGGGAAATGAAATCACAGTCAGCCAAAGAGAAAGAAGCTCGGGATGGTCTACAAAGATCTACCAACAAATTAGAGGCTCTCAAGAAGCAGCAGGCATCGATCGAGACGGACATTCTGCTGGAGCAGGAAACAATCTTGCACTGGGAAGATCTTGAGCGCGAGGCCAAAGAAGGAGGAGATCGCTCACCACCTGGAGATGAAGACATCGGTCATGATCGTAGAAGAGCACTAGCGGTGTTGGTACCCAAGGACCTCATCAATGCCAAAGAAGAAGTACCGCCTCCACCGCCTCCCCCGCCACCCCCACCAAGCACGAAGGCACTTCAGTTGGCTCCAGCGACTTCTTCGAGACCTCCATCATCATTTCCGACAGTTGGGCTACCAGCGACGCCGATAGTTGATGGGAAGTATATAAGAGGCCATTCATCCACAGCACTGCACAGCTATATTCCAAGTGCGGGTTCTGCGACACAGCTCGGCGCACAGAACCCAGGGCAACATGCGGCCAGAATCGCGCGCAGAGAGGTGACATCGATCCAATCGTCTACTCCAGGGTCTACTCCGCCAGCATTCACGGAGGAGGTCGAGCAAGTACGTCGTGGAATGAATGAGTTGCGTGAACTACAGGAAGAAGCTAAGCAGCAGCTAGCAGAAGGCAGGCGACGCGAAGAAGCTCAATAACAACATCGTCTGCAGGCCCAACAGCGTGAGACGCAAGCTGAGTTCAAAGAAAGACAGGCGAGAGCGACAGCGGCACATCATCATGGTCTGGAGCTTCGAGAGCAACAAAGACGATTTGCAACATATCGGCAACAAGTAGTCCAAGACCAAGCAGAAAGAGAAGCCAAGTACAAATGTGAATTAGAACAGTACCAGCAAGCGATGGAAGCTCAAAGAATACAGGCTGAACATCTTCGGCAGGAACAACAGGCTCGGAGTGATGCGATGATGGTCTCCCGCATGCAGGTATTTCAGGAAGAAGCTGTTCGTGAATTACAAAGCAGGCGAAATGAAATGGGCACATACTACAAACAAAAGTGGGATCTTCTTGCTAGCGAGCAGCAGGCAGCAAGTGCGCAAGCAGTAGCAGCGGTGCGAGAGCCGGAGAACAAGTATCATACATGGGCGACCGAGTTGTATGCAGCACAGCAGGCGAGCAAAGCTATTGCAGGCTTGGCTCCAAATACAGCAGATACTTGCTCGGCACCCCAGCCATCACAGGCTACAGCCAGTATGCCAACTACGGTACCTGGAGTATTGGGAGCAGTGGTACCGACAGCAACAGCAGCAACGAAGCTACCTGGCGCAGCGGCAGATGTTCCACCAGCAGTTGGATACGGTCCGCAACGTGCCCGCTCAGCTTCAAGACTGCCATGGTTCAATTTAAAGACGTGAGGGTTGTGCCGCATGTTACACCTTCGCGACAGACACATAGGCAATCGCATGGGTGCCCATACCCTGAACCGTCACCGGCAACGATTGAGCCACCAGCATCGTCGGTGACTCGAAAGCGGCACGACGCTGAACTGGCAGCTGAGGAGGAACGAATACTGCGGCAGCAAGAAGAAGACGAAATTGCCTACAGTGAATATCTTAAAGAGCGGCCAACATACTTGGACGATGAGCTGACGAGGACCCAGAACGAGGATGAAGAGGAAGAACGTGTTGATCTTTGGATGATGGATGAAGACGATGCAGCGAGACGTGATATTGAAGAGCTGCAAAGGCTTCAAGATGATCAGCTTCGAGCTGCTCTGGAGCAGTCCATAGCCCAGGTTAATGCGCAGCCCTCAATGGAATCACATATGATATCTACGCCGAGGAAGCCAGTCCAACACGTTGCAGAGGGCCTGGGCATGTCTGGTATTTCGGATGGGGACGAGAGCGGGCAGTGCGATACTCCTCCTTTCGTTTGCAAAATTTGTGGACAACTGGATGCACATGGGGAGCAGCATTGTGTGATGAGCGGATCCCCTAAGCCATCGGCGACATCCCTCCATCTTGACGGGGCTGATCAGGTTACGGCAATTGATTCTCCAGCAGTTATCGAGGTTGCTGAAAGCCGAGTGGTGACGCGCTCCGCGCTGGACAGGCAAGTCCTTCCACCAGATGAGGCACAGGCAGAGTTTGACATGCACCTTGGCGACGATGAAGGATATCAAGCCATGCTGCGAGAAGAAGCGGAGGCAGAGCTCAGAGCGATACGTGAAGAAGATGAACTCCGAGATCTGGAACATTATGAAGAATGGCAGCGAGATCAGGTTCTTATGGTTCAACGCGAACATGCTGCAAGACATGAATGCCCCGTGGGGGAAGAAGCAGATGTTGAAGGACCTGGGGACTCCTCGGCAGCAGAGGCCACGGACAGAAGTACTATGCACAAGACCCCACCGAGGAAGACTACGCGTACACGTAAGAGCCCTTTCCGACCTGGCCACGCCAGCTCGAGTCTCACCAGGCGTCACGGCTCACGGGGTGGAGCAACGACTCTTCTAGGCGATGGATCCACGCCAAATGCGCACCAGGACAGGCCGTCGTCGGGAGGTCACCCAGGTATGGTTTCTGCAGAACACGGCCTACTTAATGACGGTGCTGATGGACCTTTACCTGGTGACGATCAGTTGCAGCAGCTCCCCTAGGGGAGCTCAGCCCCGCTGTGCCTTACACGGCTGGAGCACAGGG